CACTGGGTCCTCGCAATGATCTCTGAGGTAGATAGAGTAGATTGAATTATTGGAATTCGAAAGCTGAGGAAATAAAGACCCAGCAAGGCTGAGTGACAGCTCCAGGTCAGCCAACCGGTAAGCAGGACTACAGGACTGGTTTCTTATTTCAAACCCATGTAGGATTTGAGCTCTCCTCCCACAGACTCTGCAGAAGACTTTAACAATCAGATTGATTATTGGTGTGGCTGGAGCTTAATTAGACACTTCACAAACAGGATGGACCGGTCTCCAGTTGACATTCTCTAATTCCATTCTTTTCTTCCACACCATACTTTATTATGTACCGACAGAAAGTGTGACTGGACAGCCCATGTGCCTCCTTCTGCAGCTACGCTCATCCAGAATTTAAGCAGTGTTAGAAGCACCAGCCCCATCGGGCTCCCTGGTGAGGGGGCAGCAGGTGATGGAAAAACAAGGAGTGGTGAGCAATGTCAAGATGGCCGAGCTTATAAAAGTAAGTGCTAAGTTTCAATGAAACGAACCCTATACTTTCATGACGGACGAGGAAACAGGAAGACTCCTCTGCTTGTGACTTAATTCATCTGGCTCCAGGCATTTGGGAATTCCAATAGTTTAAAAAAAAAATCAGTTAACAGAAGGCTAAGAACATTTTCCCCACCCTGAAATGCCCCAAGGTGATGACTTGGTTAGCAGTTATAATACACCAAGATACTGATCTTGAAAGGCATTTTATCCCACTAAGGTTTGCTGGTGACACCTTGGCTGGCCTGCCTTTTTTACTTCTCCCAACTTGGAAAGGGTCTGGTTTTCCCAGGTCAAATAACTTGCTGGAGGGCTACAAATCAGTCACGACATACATCAAGGTTTCACTTACCCACTGACCCTCTCTACCTCTTTGTGAAGAAATGACATTTTTCCTTGAAATACCGAATGAGCAATAAAAACCTAGTAGGAACACAAGCTTGCATTTTTTTTTTTTAAATATAAAACTTCACGGTTTTTAAGTTCAAATGTCCTATGGTTTGTAATTAAGCTGAGTTCCGGTATGTTTTCACATTCCATAAGCGTTTGCAATGACACATTTCATGCATAAAGGGAGAATTAAAAGGAAAAAAAAAATTGCTTGTGCTCTGAATTTTTAATACTCTGAATTTTTGTGGTTTGTTACTCAGAATTTTAAATTTCTCTTAATTTGCCTCATGCCTTAGGGCACTACAGTTAATAAATCCGTGCAGAGTGCTTAAGAGCCTCTGAAAACAGAAAATCTGAGCTGGGACTCTTAGAACACCAAGGCTTAAAGGAAAAAAAAAGAAAAAAAAAAGAACACCAAGGCTCTGAGTCTGTAGCAATGTGGGATCCATCTCTAACCAAGAGTATTTCTCATACCTTTTTAAATTGTTTTTCTCTATGACTACCAGCGAAAAACAGCCAGCTGCGTAGAGATGACTGTGTATTGGGCACAGTGCTGAATATTATCTCATGTAATTCTTACAGACACCGTAGGCCGTCAGTGGCATGACCGTGGTACAGATGAAGAGACGGAGTTTAAAGAGAGATTAAACAACATGTCCAAGGTCACACAGCAAACGGATTCTGGAAACCAAAGACAGGCTATGGATTGCTTCCCAAATTCTTGCTCTGCAAAGACAAAGACTGAAAACACCTCATCCCCATGACTGGCAAAAGGCTTAGAGCCAAAATACACGAAGAGCACTTGCTGGGAGTTCTGGCAGGTATGAGAAACATCGTCCCCACCATTCCTGGGCTACAGTTAATAGACCTCATATGGAAAGGACAGAAAGCTTCGGCTTGTGGGTCTTGGATGAACATTTTTTTCAAAATAGCCTTTGGCTTTGATCAGTCTCTCTTCTTAATAGCAAATCTTCTCCCTTCTAGCCTGTTTTTAAGCTACATAATTATAACCCAGCAGGTGTGTGTAACAAGCACGTCAAGAGGCTGAGCATCTCCAAGGCCTCCCATCTCAGCCTTTGTTTCAGGGTTGGCCAATCTTGACCTTCATTCCTGCTCGGCCACTGGTAACTTGCTGTGTGCCCAGGTCATGCAAACAGCTGAAGCATGATCCTCCTTTTTACAAGTCAGCGCCCACAGCCCTTTCAATGACGGCTTCTTTCATTTGGACCAAGTGGGCCAGGGCAGTGACTTGTAGAACATCCTCCCTCCAATTAAACCCGTAGGCTCTTTGGCCATGGAAAAATAAACTGATGGAAGCAAAATTCATCGTCAGATTTTAACAGAAGGAGGAGGAGGACATAAGCAGTGGTACAGCATGGACAGTTGCAAAGATCACCAAGAAAGAGAAGACGAGGCAGTAGTAACACAAGATGGCCCGGTTGAGTCCTTTTTGAATTGAATGGCACGTCCTGAAAAGGAAAGCGAAAACTCTGCCAATCAAAAAAAAAAAAAAAAGACTGTGTCTTCTGACCCTTGTCTAAACTCTGGGATGAACAACCAAGCCTGACCGTGATCAATGTCAAACAATATTGACCAATTCCTATGAAACTGTGAATGTAAAAAAAGGACCATGAGTCATAAACAACTGAGAGGAAATTTGCTGCAGGAAGATACTGCGTAGACGTCAATTCACCATTATTTTGGGAGAAAGCCTGGTTGTCTTTAGTGGATGCATTTATAGTCTGTGGGACTCTCAACTTCATGAAGCCACATTCGCTAAGAGATGACTTGTGCGTCGATTTAAGTTATATATGACACGCAAGACTCAGCAAAACCAGTGAGACTCCTGAACGCTATTTCTTAAAGTAAAATTCAGGGGAGAAATAAATTACTGAAAAATGTTAATATAAGTTGAGATCTACCTCCAGAAAACACAATAAGGAATAATCTGGTTTTATAAAATAGATAAACTAGGGATTAGTTATATGCATTGACTGGGATTCATTATGCTCCTTCTCCCCGCCATGGACCCCCACTTAACAACCATAACGTCCATCAAAAGCCGATCAGTTAAATGAATTCTGTTTTCCGCATAATGGATACTGGGCAGCTTTCGAACGAGTGAGGAGAGATGTGTTTATAAAGTAGCCTGGAGAAATAGGACACGGGATGAAATAGTGTGTCTAGAATGATTTCTCTCTCTGGAAAGCTTAGGATAAACACTGACAAAGTCTCAATGAACCACTGTCATTCCTTCGACCGTGGTTACCGTGGGAAGGGATGGGCATTGCAGAAGGACTCCCTCCCATAACTGACATGTTTCTGTAGTTTGTATTTTGTTTGTTTTTACAATGGCTTTGTATAACTTTTTGGCTAAAAAAAAAATAACTATAAATAAAAATGATTTTGAAAATTGTTTTTAAAAATTTGCATGCCTATCATTTCTAACATTATTTCTTTGAAATTTGCTCTTAGAGGCAAATTTTCAAGTATAGACAGCATTATTGATATTCCTCCTGGAAATCAAGTAAGTATTCCTTACTTTGATCTTGGTCACAGGGCTTAGAGAGACATCATTTTATTACGCGATTACATGCATGTAGCCTTCCCATCCCCCACATAGATGGATATCAGTCACAAAATGATACTTTATTATTTTTATCAAGAATTTCCAGTGAGAAGCCTCAATGCCCAGCTGGTCTGCTCTGGGAGGGCAAAACTGGCATTAGAAGGGGGTGAGCCCTGGGCCACCTCTCTGTGTGGTCTGCATCAGCTTCCCAACCGTAAAATGGGGAGAAAAGAGGAGTTTAATTATTTTTAACTCAATGGAAGGTTGAGAGCATTGATAAAACCTGAAAAACCACACAGCAGATGAAGAACACAGTGGTATGATGACAAAGGCTGCTTCATGACAAATATGGCTGTTTTTCTAATAGACATTAAAGCACGAGACAGATGGAAATGATAGTAGTTATTCAAGGCTGCGATGTCGGGGTGTGATAACACATGGTCTGCTATTACAGGTCACTGTTTCACTGCTGTGACTGACGCCCGGCGATACCAGCAGAGTGCAGGGAGGGCGGCAAAACCAACCAGGGCAGTGTGAGTAAAGCCTTCATGTCATTATACTACACAGTAGGCTGGGGCGGGCGGGGGGCTGTCTAAGTGGACTCATCCATTCTCATATAGGCAGAAACAGATTGTATGCCTGTGCTTGGATCAAGAGAAAGAGCATCACGGCCACAGTTCACACTGAAAATAACGTAATTTATTAGGTCTGGAACACCCAAACCTGAGAGAGAATGTGACCTTTAATAAACAGCACATAACTTATTTTTCTTTAAAAAAAAAAGCAGACGTGTTTAGTGTGGAAAATTGTGAACCAGAGATAAGTAAAAACAGCAGCAGTAGTAAAAAGATCAATCAGAACTGGATTACTGAGAAGGAGCCGGCACCAAAGACTCTGGCTTATGTCTTCACAATTCATCCACCTGTGTATCCATCCAATGTCAGTAAGTGTATGTGTGTATATGTATGTACATTATATGTATATTATATATACATACTTTAAATGATATCTTTAATAATATTTTATATATAATTTTGTAGATAAAATTATATATAATTTATATATAACTTTAATAATATGTATATTATACATATACTTTATATAAAATATTTTAACATTATATATAATTATGTATATAAGTAAATATTTAATGCTTACATAACAGATAAATATATAAAATTTGGAAAACACATATATCATCCTCCTCTTCATATGACCTTAAAACAGAAATCTAATTGGATACATTTATAAATGAAGTTGGGGTCAACATCCTTAGAGTTAAGTCTTTGTGCATAACTTGATTCCCTTAGGATAAATGATCAAGTGTGGAACTGCTGGGTGAAGGGTACATAAATTAGTTATAAAAAGTATCTTTCACTTAACCTGAGCATTCTCTGAATCCATGGCTTCACTAACCAAAGTTATTTGTCCAAACCTGTTCGGTGCCCATTAAAGCAATATTCCAAATCCAGAATAGCTCAAGCTCTCCTATGTGTCTATAATGATTCACACTTACTTTCCGAGGTTTCACTTTATCTTGCAGATCATACTGGCCAATTCCTTTATAGCTGATTCCAAGCCACCAAGGAAGTCCTTGTTTATCCTGGAAGATGGAAAAGCATGAGAACCAAGCCCTAATTGTTCAGTCTTCTAGAGGTGAAGATTCACCAATGTCATCCTTGAACAAATATCAGCAAGGCAAAATAAAGCTGTCTTGGCAAACAAAGCATTACTTAAAAACCTAACTTGCTATTAAAATGCCTTCAAAAAAGATCTGTAAGTTAAAACAGATCAATACTATTAATGCCATCAAAAAGAATGAACCATGACTGTCTTGATTAAACAGCTCGAGGAAAGAAAGAAAATGTAAAAATCCTGAGTGTAAAGCTAGTTATCCATTAAAAAAAAAAAAGAAAGAAAGAAAAGAAAAGAAACTAAAAAGAAGAAGAAAAAAGCTCTCTGTTCTCTTGATTAGTAACCAGCTATAATGGTCAGAGAAGTTTCCAAAGAATTAGAAAGATGAGAAAGGGGGCACCAAACCTGATGTTTTATGATCCCCACTTAACAATGAACCTGGGAATACTGAAAAGCTCTTTTGGAGAACTGTACGATTCAATGGCAGGATGTTTGAATCATCATTTTGAGATACATATGGGGAGGAGAGGAATTTTTTTTTCACAAATTTATCTTTTATGTCCTGCCAAAGTGAAGGATATATTGACACAGGGAAAGAAAAATGTAGGCGTAACCATATACCCACATGCAAACAAATTAAGAATCTGGAGAAACCCAAGTTGAATTGCTACATATTTTTAGTACGAGGTATCCTCATTATGCAAGTACTTACTATTTAACCCCCCATTTTGAATTGCAAATACTGTTGTAACTTGAAAAGTCACTCAAGATTAATCTATGATAAAACTCCTTTCAAACAAGACCCCCTTCTTAATGGTGCTTTATCCCTAACCTCTCAAAATATTTCTGAATCCATTTCTTCCTGCTTGAAAGCACCTGAAAATACTACACAAATGTGAAATCTACCAATTGAAAACTGGTATTGCAAATCCTGCAAAAATTTGAGAATTTTATGAATCTGTTGAAATGACAGTGGCAAGTTTATGATTCTCCTATAAAGGCTGTATCAAGTGAGTATCTAGTAGCATTAGACAGGTGAACAACCAGGGAAGAGAAACAACAGCAAAAATAGGTAAAAGGAATAGATGCACTAAATGAGAATAATTTGAGTATGTTAGGATTCATAGAGGTTCTGGGAGAACATACGAATGTAGCAAGTATTTTACAAAAATAACAAGCTTTATAATTTGCTACAAATGATAAGGTATAATCAGGCTTTTATTTTTTAAGAAAATCAATTATATTTTAAGTGTTGAAATTTATAGAGATAATTTGCATGCATATGCACATTAATTTATGTAATTTTAGAAGTTGGTGCTATTCATTAACTCAGAAACTAACATGGGCGGTAGGAAAGCTTTGTTATGCAAAAGTATTTACCTTTACTGCATAATAATGGACTCCATAGGTGGGTAGAGCTTCTACTATTTTCATATACCTATGAAAAATGAATATATATTATAATCTCTTAATAAATTAGAGGACCATTTTGGGAAAAGTGATGTACAGAAATATGATATGTGGGGTGACTGGGTGGCTACAAATATACTGCACAGCCAAGATTCCAACAAAGTGAGTGGGATTCCCCAGTCTAGACCCTTAACTCCCAAGTCAGCCTCTTATTTGGAGCCACAGCTGTTAAGATCAAGAGAAGGAAAAGGACTCTGCACTGAAACAACGGCACTTCATAACACGCTCGTTAGCTTAACCTAAAATCCTTCAGGGAATCTGTTACTCCTCTTCGCCCTCCCCCTTGAAAACAGGCACAATGAGTTAAAATGTCCACGACTGAACTTCAGGACTGCTCATTTTTGATTTCTGCCTTGAAGACCATAGAAGGTGTGCTGTGATCAAAAGGAGATCAGTGCAAGAGGCAGAGGTTGTGAGGGAAAGCTATACACTGACCAGGGAGGGGAAAGGCAGTCTCTAGGTCCTTATTTCAGTTCTCACAGGCTCTGAGCTGTATTCAGTGGGTTTTTAAAAGAACTTCTATGGATATAAAAGTTATTCTACAATTACCACAGTAAAAGGTTATATTTGGTTTTATAATTTTAAAATTATAAAATTATAAATTTAGTTCTTATAATTTTATTTTTTTTAAGATTTTATTTATTTATTTGACAGAGAAAGAGATCCCAAGGAGACAGAGAGGCAGGCAGAGAGAGAGGGGGAAGCAGGCTCCCCGCTGAGCAGAGAGCCAGATGCAGGGCTCGATCCCAGGACTCTGAGATCATGACCTGAGCCAAAGGCAGAGGTTTAACCCACTGAGCCACCCAGGTGCCCCAGTTCTTACAATTTTAAAACTTTAATGTAGCTTCTGAACTATTGTTAATAAATGGATGGTGGGTGGTGCCTGGATGGCTCAGTTGGTTAAGTCTCCGACTCTTGGTTTGGGTTCAGTTCATAATTTCAGAGTCCTGGAACTGAGCCCAGGATCAGGGCTTCCTGCTAATTTTAATAAATCTTTTTATTTTTTTTTATTTTTATTTTTTTTAAAGATTTTATTTATTTATTTGACAGACAGAGATCACAAGTAGGCAGAGAGGCAGGCAGAGAGAGAGGAAGGGAAGCAAGCTCCCTGCTGAGCAGAGAGCCAGATGTGGGGCTTGATCCCAGGACCCTGGGATCACGACCTGAGCCCTGAGCCGAAGGCAGGGGCTTTAATCCACTGAGCCACCCAGGCGCCCCTAATAAATCTTTTTTAAAAAATAAATGGATAGCAACTCTGTTAGTCTAAAATGCAGAAATATATCACTATGGTCTGCTCTTGTTAACATGCAGACATAGATTATCCAACACCAACACTGTATGCTCCACTCAAAGTAGAGTCACAAACCAGGCAACCAAGTATGGCCTCCAAATGGGTTTTATTTGGGTTGCGTTGTAATAAAATTTTCTTAAAATTACTTTGCAATGTTTAAAACTGGATTTTAAAAATCAGAATTTCCACCTTTTCTTAGAAACTATCAGCTCTGGTAGCTTTAGGCCTGCTGAGACTAAATAACTTTGCCTCTACTCAGGGTAACAGCGCTCCAGTTTACTTCAGTCTCCACCATTCCCTATTGCCCCTACACCTGGCCTGCATTTCTCAGTTTTGCCACCTGCCTGCCTCTGGAAAATATCTGAATTGATGACAGCAACAGCAGAATGACTCAAGGCATTTTTATAATTCATAGCAAGGCTTTTCTAGCCAGATGGGGATGATATACACACAAACCACACAAGAGAAATAATTTCAGATGACTTCTTCAAACAGAACGCATTAAAATTCTATCTAAGCAAAAGGAAAGACAGATACTTACTGGACCACAGCTTGACCCCGAGTCAGACCTTTGATTTTCAAATAATGCTCAATTACCCTGTCCTCACTGTAAAACAAGGAATGAAAAATATGGCAATGTATGATTATATGAGGTACAGACTCAATTTCAAGATTCTCAGGTGGTTTGTTGAGAAACTAGAGAAAAAAGACCTTTACCAACTTGTTTGGGAGATAGAAACTGGCTGACTTTAGTTTCTGTAGGACACTCATTCCTGAACCTCAGACATCTGGATACCTCATCAAGACTTTATTTATATTTTGTATGATATATAAATATATCAATACTTTTTAAAACTTGATTTATTGGAAAAGGAAAGAGAATATCAATTTATCAAATGAAAAACATTTTTTTGCCATAATTGAATGAGATAAAATAAATATAAAATAATGTTATTAATGCTAATTAGTGAGCCTTTCTAGGGAAATTAAAAGGCTTAAAAAAAGAGATCAGCAAATGTTAGATATTAAAGGCATTTCCTTAAATTATCCACAAAGATTCAGAAAGGATTAAAACTGTTCTGAGTCTTGTGTGCAATCCAAAATACTACCCTGTCACTCGCTACTTGGGAAACACTGCTTTCAGAGAAAACGCTTCATTACTGTCCCAGGATAACACTTGTTGAGTAGAGGGGCACCTGGCTGGCTCAGTGGGTAGAACATGTGACTCTTGATCTTGGGGTTGTGAGTTTGAACACCATATTGGGGGCAGAGATTTAGTAAAAAACCCAAAAACATAAAAAAAAAAAAAAAGCTTGACTAGAAAGGTGAGAATTATGTTGAAGTGTGTCACCTTTGATATCCCTCAGCTACTGTACCCTACTTACAAATAGATACCTGTCATATCTCAAGTATAACCTAGAAGGGTAAATGTTTTTATCTCTACACAACCAGTAATTAGCAGTAAATGATCTCCCCCGCTAACCCCCAAGAAACTATCACTTAACAATAATATGTTTGGAAGGTTCCAGACTCAGGAAGCAACACGATCTCAGGACTCACTTTTGCTCTTTCTGTGGTAACTGCATTTCATCTCTCCTATGAAAGTTATTCATGTTGAGTATTTATTTTGTAATCAGTTTTTCAGTGGAAAGGAAAACTATCTTCAGGATTCTGAACCATAAATCAAGGAAACTATATTTAAAGGGGATGTAACTAATTCAAAGTTGTGGGTGGGGGGAGTACTTTTCAAGGAAAATATACTGTATGGAAAATGGATACCATGGATTCATTAAAATATAAATAGAACTACTTAAAATATACAACAATTTTTGGCTACAGAAGAAACCTCTGATCAGTTAGGTAGTTTCTGGCCATTAAGAAAACCTCTATCCATGGAAATCTGTATTTTATAACATGTATATTGCACTCTGCTAGATTAAGGCCACATTACACAGTGACACGTTCACTTAAAAGTCCTCTCTACAAAAATAATTAATTAAAGAAAAAAGAGTTACTGCTTAAAAAAAAAAAAAAAAGCCCCCTGTACAGACCTTCGACACACATGAGTGAGAAGGCACAAAGCCACACTTCACAAACGACCACAATCTTGGTACGATGATCTCCAGTAAGCTTTGACAAGACCCTTTCTGGGAAAGGATGAAGGTCTACTTATAGTGGCTCAGATGCACGTGATGGGCTATGGGATACTTTCTTCACTTATGTTTCTTTTAATTTCTTGAAAAGCACGCTTTTCTCAATGGAGGCTATGAGAGCAGGGTCATCTGTCGTCCTACTTTGGCTTACCAGTAAGCAAGGGATGGGTGCTCCTGAAGAGTTTTGGTGGGAAAGGCTGGTAGGGTCTTTAAATCTTTCCTGGCATTTTCATCACTGAAAAGAAGAGGAATACAGTAATGTCAGTCACCGTTACCTAAGATAGCATCCAACCTAGCCACCAGAGGAAATCGATAAATCTGATAAATCTGATAAATCAGGATACTGGGCTGTAGCAAAATACCATCAGTACACACGTAAGGCTAAGGATTCAATTAGAGAGAGCTGCCACCTGAACCCCCACCCCAAGCCATTCGATATTTTGAAGTTTTTATTTTTATTTTTATTTTTATTTTAAAGATTTTTTTAAATTTATTTATTTGACAGAGAGAGATCACAAGCAGGCAGAGAGGCAGTCAGAGAGAGAGGAGGAAGCAGGCTCCCCACTGAGCAAAGAGCCCGATGCGGGGCTCGATCCCAGGACCCTGAGATCATGACCTGAGCCGAAGGCAGCGGCTTAACCCACTGAGCCACCCAGGTGCCCCTGAAGTTTTTAAAAAGACAAAAAAAAAAAATTAAAATTACAGTATTCAGGTGTCATAATCCTATTTTCCTTACTCTCCTGATAAACTTGCAGCCATTTTCATTGTATATTTCTTATGTGTATCTGTTCCATTACATAATTATTATTATGGTGGATATTCCATTTTCACACAGCATTCTTCAAATTTCTTCACATACTTTTTCTATGTTCCTATAGCACCCTAATAATGACCTTTAGTGGACACGTAATGTTGTTGGAATGTTGGTTATCATAAAACTGTTCGGGTAGTATCACCAATTTTCCATAATAGATATCAATTCAATAAAAAAGTTTATATTGGAACACCTGGGTGGCTCAGTTGGTTAAGTATGCCTTTGGCTCAGGTCATGATACCAGATCACCTGCTAGTTACAAATGAAAACACTGAACCAATAATTTCAAGAGCCATCATTCATGCAATTTTCACATTAGCTTCCCTGGGGTTTGCCCCAGTGATTCACACTCAAAGAAATGAACCCCCCCACCCGGAGGACCAAACCCAAGCACGGTGAATCTCTTCCCAAAGCAGTCATTCAACACTCACAGATCAATTCTTACCGATTAATCTGGGGAACCAGGCATGGCCCACAGACAGGTTTTATTTGACCCTCACTGTACTGTGCTATATTAGAAATTGCTCACTCCTGTCATCAGAGCAGGCTTGATATAAGTGGTTCTCTTTCACTGTCTACTTTTGTCTTTTGGCTTTACCATCGCATTTCCTGACCGTGCTACAGGGCAGTCAAGGGAACCCACCGAGCAAACTGTACATACGCTTACTGTCTTCCAGTAAGAACCAAGAGTTGAGTGTCACCTGGCTTGGAGAAACTATGATTTGCACCTGTCAACTTTACATTTCAAAAGGAAGGTTGCGGCCCTTCCTAAAGGTTAAAGATCCTGCTTTACAAATTGCTACAGGAAATAAAAAGTCACTTGGCTCCTGTTCTTACGTAAGAAAAATCTCTCTATTCATTCAAAATCTAAGCAGTATGGTTTAACCACATTGACAATCTAGGAAAACAGGTTTGGGCTTCCTGAAAACCAAAATATACCACAATCCAATTTATTCATATTAAAGGTCATCTGTCAACTCTCAGTAATGATTATTTATTTTTCTTAATAATTTCTTTTATGCTCTGTCCTTCAAATCCCATTTCCTTTTTCAGAGAAGTTGGCTTGGCAGTTTTTTTTGTGAAGAGAAAATACATGTATACATTCTAAATGACAGGCTAAGGACAACACTTTTTGTTATTCATCGTCACCACCAATGACATATGTATTATTATCTTCTGGGTCTATGTGAACTATATGCCATGTTCTAAGGACTCAGCCTAGCACTCAGTTACCTCTTTGGGTTACTGTTAACTTTGTGGCAATCAAGACCTCACTAAAGCAGAAGCTGCTATTTACTATAACTTCATTTATTCTTTTATCAAGTATGTATCGAGTACATACTGTACACTTAGTATGCGGAAGCCAAAAGAGAAAGGAGAGGGGACAGAAGTAAGGGAGAGATTTTATCCATCATTCTATTCATTCTATTGAGAGTAAATGGGATGACTGAAGTCGAGGCCCTTTAAGAAGGCTTCAGTTCCTGTGTCCTCAAAGCACTAACATCTCACAACACTGAGATTTTTCTAGAATTTAAGCATTTAGTATATGCTTGGTAAACACCAGCAACTTACATGTTAGTGCCTAACTAAAGAAACAGCTGTGTGTTTCAACAGAAGACTACTCCCTGGGTTGGATTTATTGAAAGATAAACTCTGCTCTTTGACATGTCATCTTTTCAAGGAATTTCTCTTCTTTTCTTTTTAAGATTTATTAATTTATTTTAGAGGAGTCGGGGCAGAGACAGAGGGAGAGAGAATCTCAAGAAGATTTCCTGCTGAGGGCTGAGTCTGACACGGGGCCAGATCCCGGGACCCTGAGACCACCATCTGAGCTGAGATCAAGAGTCAACCACCCACCCAGAGAGCCACGCAGACACCCTTCAAGGAACTGTCACGAGTAATTTTAACTATATGATAGTCCCTCCTTATCCACAGGAGATACTCTCCCAGACTTCCAGTGGATGTCTGAAACCACAGATAAGACCAAACCCTATATACTGTCTTTTCTCCTATATATACATACCCATGATAAAGTTTAATTTGTAAATTAGGCATAGTAAGAGATTAAAAACAATAATAAAAAAATAGGGGTGCCTGGGTGGCTCAGTGGGTTAAGCCTCTGCCTTTGGCTCGGGTTATGATCTCAGGGTCCTGGGATCGAGCCCCGTATAGGGCTCTCTGCTCAGCGGGGAGCCTGCTTCCCGCCCCCCTCTTCCGCCTGCCTCTCTGCCTACTTGTGAACTCTCTGTCAAATAAATAAATAAAAACTAAAAAAAAAAATAGAATAGACAATTTAACAATGTACTGTAATAAAACTTGAATGAACATTGTTCTTTCTCTAAAAATACCTTATTGTCCTATATTCACCATTCTTCATTCGATGATGTGAGATGAGGAGATGCAGTGAGGGGGAACAACCGAGGCATTGAGACCTAGCGTCAGGCTACTATGGACCTTCTGACGATTTGTCAGGAGGAGGATCATCTCTCCCGGACCACGGGTAACTGAAACCGTGGAAAGTGAACCCACGGGTGTCGGGGGGACTACAGTTAGAACCATCCCAGTTATAAGATGTGGTAAGATTCTCTTCATCTGGATGTGGGGGTTGAATGAATCAATATAGCACCAAAGATCAATCATGGACCAGTATCCTAAATAACAACGAGTATTCACTCGTGAAGACTTTTCCGGGGAACCGATCAATTGACCGGAAGCAACTACAATGTGCATCAGTAGGGATACAGCTGAGGGATCGTTTTAAGCAGAGTTTAGACTACTTTAAAAGGAGTATACCTGAACAGGTAGAGCCCAAGGGATTTGGGGGCAGTTCACCTATTCTGAATAATACTGTAATGACATACATGGTATCACGTATTCGTCCAAATTTTAAACTCGCACAACACAGACTGAATCCTAACTTAACTAGGGACTTTAATTAATAATTATGTAATAATTTGATTCAATTGTAACAAATGTACCCCACTAGTGCAAGATGTTAATAGTAGGGTAAAATGTTGGGGGTGGGACATGAAGGGGAAAGAAAAAGAGGGTAGATGGGAACTCCGTACTTTCCGCTCATATTTTCTGGAAACCTAAAACTGCTCTAAAAGAATAAGGTATATTAATTCAGAAAAGAAAGAAAAAGAAAGAAAGAAATACACTTTAGTGGCTTTTAACCTGTGTGGCTTTGCTCCTCAGGAGGCACTTGGCAATGTCTTATGACTTTTTTTTTTAAGATTTCATGTATTTATTTATCTGAGAGAGAAAGAGATAGTGAGAGAGAGCGTGAGCAGGGGAAGGAACGGAGGGAGAGGGAGAAGCAGACCCCACGCTGAGCAGGGAGCTTTATGTGGGACTCGATCCCAGGATCTTGGGATCATGACTTGAGCTGAAGGCAGACGCTTAACTGACTGAGCGACCCAGGCACTCCATTAAGACTTTTTCTTTTTTTTAAAGATTTAACTTTTTAAGTAATCTCTACAGCTAGTGTGGGGCTTGAACTTACCACCCTGAGATGAAGAGTTGCATGCTCTACTGATTGAGCCAGGTGGGCTTAGACATTTTCATAGTCACATTAAGACATTTTTCATAGTCACAGCTGAAGGGAGGCATTACTGGCATCTGCTGAGCAGAGGCCAGGATAGCTGCTCTGTTTCCTATAATACAGAGAATAGAGCCCCAACAACAAAGAATTATCCCGCCCAAAATGTTAGCAATGTTGAGTTTGACAGGGAGAGAGATCACAAATAGGTAGAGAGGTAGGCAGAGAGAGAGAGAGGAGGAAGCAGGCTCCCTGCCGAGCAGAGAGCCCAACTTGGGACTTGATCCCAGGACCCTAAGACCACGACCCGAGCCGAAAACAGAGGCTCAACCCACTGAGCCACCCAGGCATCCCGCAATGTTGAATTTGAAAAACCCGACTTGAATTATTATAAAGTTTTTTCTAATCAAACCCTAAAACTTCTAATTGTATCTTTTAGACCTAACAAAATTCTCGTGTCACTCTTAGACTATAGATATCCCAATACAAATACCCCGTAGGTACAAATGCCTATCAAAAGCCAAGTGAGAGAGGCATTAGGCATTCAACTATGCAAGCTAGCTAAAAACAGGCAAGTCAGGGGGCGCCTGGGTGGCTCAGTCATTAAGCATCTGCCTTTGGCTCAGGTCATGATCCCACGGTCCTGGGAATGAGCCCCCTGCTCCGCAGGAAGCCTGATTCTCCCTCTCCCGCTCCCTCTGCTTGTGTTCCCTCTCTTGCTGTGTCTCTGTCTGTCAAATAAATAAAATCTCAAAACAAAAACAAAAATAGGCAAGTCAGAATCAGTATTAGAAACAAGAACACCAGGCGCCCGGGTGGCTCAGTGGGTTAAGCATTTGCTTTCAGCTTGGGTCATGATCTCAGGGTCCTGAGACAGAGC